GATACTATATACAATGTAATATGCTGATACTGACCTTCCGATCTTTTTCACAGTTCCCTATGAATGTTCCAAACTGACAAGAGTATGCGTGCTCATGGATTTCGATGAGAAAACGGTCATTGAACTGAAATACATCCATACAATATTTTTTATGATATTTTCATGGTAGCATTGTCATCGAGGGTCAAACTGCGTTGGTTACAAAGCACGAAAATCTGGACTACGATGAAAATTCTTCTCGAATCTAATATATCATGAGGTAGAAGAGGTGAAAAGAGAAAATTTGATTCATTCAGATAGAAAGCAGGGAAACAAGGAAAAGGAAAAGATGAGGTGCAAAGCAGACCTGAAACGCTTTGGGCCGTTGTTCAGCTATTTGATGGACACAATCCAAAAACTGTGTGAAGACCGGTGATACCTAAATATGGAATCTGGTGGAAGAGATCGTCAGGGTCATGAATTGCTGGTTCAAACCTCTTTTGCTGCTTCATCATTGAGCGCACCGATGTGTGCACACCTGTCATCGAATTTATGACCAAACCCTAACCAGTCCTTTTCTATTAAGACCTGGAACTCAGACTTGTCGAGAAAACTATACACTCACTCAAAAATGAAACAGAAGAAGCACCTGGAAGCCATGAATAGTACGGTAGAATGGATCGAGAAGCAACTGCGCTATTGATACGGTTTGAGATGTACGATCCCATCCATCCGAACAATGTACAACACAAGAGATCCCTAGAACAAGCACGATGTCCCACAAAACTAATACTGTTCTAAAACTTCTTGGAACACTGGAAGGCAGAACTCTGCATAGAAACTCCCAAAAAAATGAAAAAAGCGTGGGAGGATAACGACTCCGCCCCATACCTTTAGCTAAGGAGTCTGCCAAGAATACTCCACACTCAATAATTACTCGTATATGCTTCAGCCATCCCGAGGATTCCAACGTTTTATAGTAGTCAGTCAAGGTTCGACATTTGGTACAAGCTGAAATTACGTATGCTTCCTTAAAGCTCATTTCTTCTAAGTCAAGATATTCCCAAGATTGACAAAGAGGTGCAGAAAACCGAAATGGAAGGAAAACTCCACCTTCTAGAAGTTTTATTTGACTATTTCTCATCACGTGTATGTTTTCAATATCGAAGAAATGAAATCTCGTATTTAAGTAGTTTCTTTCGTCTTCATAGCCTTTGCCTTGCACTTTGTTAACCATCGCATTCATCTGAAACATTACATTACTTGGGCAAAAGGATGACCGTCAGATTGACTACAGTATCAAAACAACATTAACAAGAAATGGGATTTTTGAGCCCCGCCGCCGAACGCTTCGCCATATCCCCTCATTCGCTCCAGCGG